ACAATATTCTCTGACAGGTCATGTAGAGAAAGAACTAGTTGATTGTGCAGCTTGGCCTGGAGTGAGAATCACAGAACACTAGAACTGGAAAGGACCTTGAGGGGTCATCAAGTCCAGTCCCCTGCCCTCATGGAAGACCAGGCACTGTCTAGCTCATCCCTGACAGATGCCCATCCAACCTGCCCTTAAATATCTCCAGTGATAGAGATTCCACAACCTCCCTAGGCAACTTATTCCAGTGTTTAACCACTATGACAGTTAAGAAGTTTTTCCTAATGTCCAGCCTAAACCTCCCTTGCTGCAATTTAAGCCCGTTGCTTCTTGTCCTACCATCAGAGCCAAGGAGAACAATTTTTCTCCCTCCTCATAACACCCTTTTAGATACTTGAAATAGTTTAGATTAAATGCTTTTGTAAGAGTCATAACATTAACTTCCTTTCAGAAAACATTGCCCTCTTAAACATTATTGTAAATTTCATCAAACCATTGTATGTGCTGAAGTGCTGACTCTTCAGTCTGCAAAAAGAGACTGTGACTTTAAAAAAGAGGTAAAGATTGGAAAGGAATAGCTAGTAATTTAGACTGAATGTTCTCTCTCTTCCCAGACCTCCCTGTTCAGAGTGGCTTTTTTTTTAAACTAACCCATAATTGAGCTTTGTTTGTTGCGGTTTAGTTTAAATTGTATTGGTTCAAAAATAGGGCTTGAACCTGTCAAAATAAATTATGCAAAATGCCTCCATGTGAAGGTAGGTCTCCTGTCTCACTCTATGGAGTAAGATTGTAATGTTCCTAACCGAGGTTGGAATAGGAATGGCTTCCTGCTGCTTGATTTCTAATTACATAAATGGAAGGGGAAAAAGTGGAAATTCTAAGTACCAAAAGGAATGTTAAATTTAGTGTAATATGCTCATCTGGAAGCTATCACATTTTTCCTTCTTCCTCAAGCCTGCTGAAATCATTGCTTCCTCTCTGACTCTGTAGCATAATTTGGATGACTAGCAGAGTGCACACAATATAGGCCTAAAACACTCAGGTGCTCCCACCAAGAACTTAATAAGGTCTCTTAGTGGAGAAGTGACTGTTATCCCTGGTGCAATTTCAATTTAATAGGAAAATAAAGGGTGGAAAGTGAAGAAGAAAGAAACCATGTTTCCATTTTTTTAATTGCTGACTAGAACTGTTTTTGACTGCTTAACAGCTCCCTAAGTGCCAGACTGGCCACAAATCTGACTCTTCTTAACAGCTTGATTAGATGTCTGCTGAGGCTTTGAAACGAATAAACAAGACCCAGAAAAGCAGACTGCTGGAAGGGAAAAAATGACCAATGCAGCTTGATATTGTTTATCTTGGTTCTCAGTATGTTGATCAAGATATTGTCCCGTCCCGTCCGCCCCCCCCCCCCCCCCCCCCCCGTGTTTTTTTTTTTCTGCTTCAATAGGGCCTAGGGACTTGGTGCTGTAAAGCATAGTCCGTATGCAGGAGTTCACAGTATAAATAAGGGCAGAAATGGTAGGCTTCTCCCTACTTTACAGATGGGGATCTGAGGTGGAGACTATAAATTATCTTGCCTAAAGTTACACACCCAGAATGTGACAGAGATGGGAATTGAACACATGGCTTAGGAAGTTGCCTTGACAATAAATCAAAATTGAAGGATGGTTAAGTCAAGGACTCTCTGGAAAGGCTGCTTACTCATTGTAGCTTGGGAGTCATCAAAGTGGGGGTTATGCTACAAGTCCTTTCACTCAGCAGACCTTATTCTCCCTGGTTTGTCATAGTGAAGAGACGTAGCTGACTGTCATTGAGTAGTTAGGTGGGTTAACGATGGGGGAGTCAGGATTTCTATTAGGGATGTTAAGTATTGGTTAACTGAATAGTCGATTAACCTCATGATTTCTTATCATTTAGTCGACTAGTCTATAGTCCCCAGAGGTGGGGCTGGAAGTCAGTGCACTCGGGCCCCACTCCCGAGGAGCCCCTTGCTACTCCATGCTGCTGCCTCTGAATCAGAGGCAGCAGTGTGGGGTGCCAGGCAGGAACTGGTCCAGAAGGGGAGGCAATTTAAAAAACAGCTCACCTGATGGACCAGCTCCTGTTGCCTCATGTTGCTGCCCCTGATATGGAGGTAGAAGCACAGGGTGGCAGCTGCCTCTGTCCATGGGAGGGGCAGTGCTCCTGGACCCGGCATGAGCCAGAACTGAACTGGGCTGCTTGACTGCATGACTCCTAATACACTTTTAATGCACAGCCGTAGTGGGGCTGGGACTGAGCTGAGCCTGATAAAAAATTTACTGGTGGGTGGTAGGGGAGATGCATGTAGTCTATAGCATTAACCTATAAACTTTTGCTTATCGGTTAGTTGACTACATTATTATATCCTTAATTTCTGTATGCTAGTCTCAGCTCTCCACTCACCAGCTCTGTGACCTTGGGGTAAGATTTCTAACCATTTTGTGTTTTGTCAAATAGGAGTAACTAGAGTCCCTCCCAGGAAGACTGTTTGTGAAACACTGAGCACCTTAAGCAGAGATGGCAGTTGCACTTGTGTTTTTTAGATGTTTACCTGGAGATAAGGGGGGGGAGGGGACCAGAAAAAAAGGGGATGATGGACAGAGCTTTGTGGAACCAGCAAGCTGGGAGGGGGAGGGAGTTGAGGAAAATTCTCTGAAGGACCCACTGAGGCATGATTAAAGAAGGAGCATAATTATCAGGAGGACAGTCACAGGAGCCAAGAGAGGACAAGATTGCAGGAAAACTGGAGCATGGTTGACCATTTACAGAGGAGGAGGATGGAATACTGCTTATAAGTTTTGGCTAGCAGGAGGTCATTTGTGACTTAATCAAAGAAAATGCAGACCTAATTTAAGA